GTGTGTTCAAATAGTTTCCTTTAAAAGTAATCGTGCTTAGCCAGTTTTGAAAACACTGTGTATGTATATGTATATATACATACAAAACTTTTAGTTCATATATATATATATATATATATATATATAGATATGAACTAGAAGTTTTGTTTCCCCTCTAAATTACCTGCCTGCATCAGAATTGCCTTGATATTTTATTGATTACTTTTATGACTCAGCATGGCCTTAAAAAATTTCAGTCTGAACATCTCTTCCTTTACGAGCTGGAACGCTGCCTGAGGTAATCAAGCTGGGTTTTACGAACAATTTCTGGATACTGGTTTAACTTTACTCTGGTGGTGTCATTTCAGAAGCGACAAGGACGCTGAGAACATCAGACAATCTACCTTTTAGGGTTTCAAGGCTGCTGTGAGAATAAACTTCATACAATCAATAGAAGTGAAAGCTTGAGGCCAGTAAACATAATTTCCCTTTATCCTTTTAGTGCATCACAAATGAATGTCAAATAAACAGATTGTAGACGGGCAAGTCAGGCTGAGACTCTAAGACACGTCAAAAAATATAAAAGAAGAATAAACATACCAAGTGAAGGTTATGCAAACATCTTTTCCTGTCATTTAAATTACAGAAATACTTCCTGTTTGACTTCAATATAACTGATAATAGTGTTTGGATTAATACTAACGTTACCCTTTTAGATATTTGTAGACCAATTTCCAATTTATATTCATTTTTTATTCTGAAAATAACTGACAAATAAAAAAAAGTGAGAAAATACTTGAAATCATACAATTTTTCTGGAAGTCTGACTGGGATGTTTTGAGATTTTCTTTATTTTATTCTTAATGAAGAAAAATATTTTGGTTAGTTCCACATTGAGAGGATGACATCTCCAAAATCTCAGCTCATTAGCTACTGACAAATAAATAAATAATTTTCCAAAAGGTAACATTTCAGACCAGCAGCTGCCATCACCTCCAACATGAAGTAGCTGCAGCTCACAGAACTCTTCCAATTGAAAAAGAAAACTATATATTTTTTATTTTTACAAATAAGTTGCTTAAGAATTTCAAACATCCATGTTCAGGATGTGGCATTCATGGCCATCTAACGATTTTCCATCAACGTTCAGTTTGTTATTTATAATGCAGAAGAAAATCTTAACCAGTTTAATTACGATAAGTTTGTTCTGATAATTTTGTGATCAGATTTTTTTCTTCACCCCAAGTCCAAAACGAAAGAGCAACCAACTAAACACAATTAGTAACACATAATATAGTATTTACAGTACAAATTAACTCATGTTCATCCTAAAGAAATCTGACCCGACACTTGGTTTAAAAGAAACTGATGAGACAAAAAATAAATCAAGATTGAAACTTTATTGACTGTTTGGGTTTACAAAGTTGTTCAGCATTCAGTTCATTACAGTACAAACCTGGAACAGAAAAAAGAAGGCCACACACTAAAGCTGAGGGCTAGAATAAAAAAAGAAGCCTTTTTTCAGTCGAAGGGTGAAGTGACTGAGAGAAAGGCAGAGAGGGAAACCAGCAGAGAGCAGAAGGAAAGGAACGGAGGAAATGACCCAAACAGACCTTCATAGAAGGAGGTAAATACTGCAGCTCCTCATAAAAAGCTGCAAAAATGACTGACATCATTTATTGTAAAACAGGATGCAACAAATAAAACTAAGATTATTTCACAACTGATTCTTGATGACAAAAAAAAACCCCTCTCAGCTGGGACTAAATCTCTCAGCAAACGAACCATCTTCTCCAGCCAAGTGTGAACCCCAACGCTCCAGCTCCACCACAGCTCCGGCTTACTTCGGCTGTTTGACACTTCAGAGGACAGAGTGAAGTGAAACGGACCCTGCTGACACTCACGTAGAAAGAAAACTATATATCTCAGATGAAGACAAAGCTGACAGACACAAATGCAGGGCCAGATGGATCTCCAGGAAGCTGGAGAACAGCGCTCTTTGAGCGGCAGAGTTCGACGTGGCCACAAGTAGCTTTTTTCAGGAAGTGGGAGGCTGGAAGGTTTTGGAGGAGGCAAGCATGGCTCGCACTTTGGCCATCAGATCCTGGAAACAGACAAAGCAACAGGATGTTTTAATAAAGAGCATGCTTACACTTGTGTTACTGGATCAGTACAAATGACCTGAAAGCTCAATCGAGCCCACTATAGGCACCACTCAAGCAGAAAAGGGTGGATTGTTCTCTCTAGGTCGAGGGTGAAGTTCTGCCTCAAGTGGAGGAGTTCAAGTATCTCGGGGTTTTGTTCACGAGTGAGGGAAGAATGGACCGTGAGATTGACAAACGGATTGGTGCAGCATCTGCAGTATTGCGGAGACTGTACCGGTCTGTTGTGGTGAAGAGGGAGCTGAGCTGTAAGGCAAAGCTCTCTGTTCACCGGTCGGTCTACGTTCCTACCCTCACCTATGGTCATGAGCTCTCGGTAGTGACTGAAAGAATGAGATTGTGGATACAGGCGTTTGAAATGAGTTTCCTCTGCAGGGTAGCTGGACTCTCTCTTAGAGATAGGGTGAGAAGTTCAGTTATCAGGAGAGATTTGGAGTAGAACCGCTGCTCCTCCACATCGAGAGGAGCCAGTTGAGGTGGTTCGGGCATCTGGTAAGGATGGGCGTCTTCCTAGGGAGGTGCTTTGGGCATGTCTGACTGGGAGGAGACCCCGGGGAAGACCCAGGACACGCTGGAAAGACCTCCTAGAAGAGCTGGAAGAGGTGGCTGTGGAAAGAGATGTCTGGGCCTCCCTGCCAAAGCTGCTGCCCCTGCGACCCGACATCGGAACAAGCGGAAAAGAATGGATGGAAGCAATTTCACAGGACTTGTCTTTTCAAAGTAAACAGCAATGTTTATTGTACATTTACAGAAAGTGTTATTTTGACCTTGGAGTTTGGCCTGAATGGTATCTTTGGCTCTTTTTCTAGTCTGATAAAACTAGGGTTGCATTTCCTTTTGTGTCCATATCTTGGGAGGTTAGCTGCCGTCTAATAAGCCTTACACTTAAAAAAAATATGGATAATTGTGGTCACAGCAACATGAGATGGATCCAAATGGTCTTTACATCTACAACCTTCTTTCCTGGCCCCTCAGACAACAAGCACTGTGTCAATGAACTGAAAGCATACCAACCAATAGTTGGCTTTTTTATAATCGTTGAGTGATCAGGGTCAAACTAATTCCAACATCACAGCATCCACCAACTGAAACACCTTCCCATGGCTATGCGCTCACAAGAGCATGTGTAACTTCAAAACTTAAAACACAGACAAGGCTGAAAGAGCTGTAACTACGCAACAAAATACTAATGATTGCCAGCAACGCAAAACAATTATCATGATGTTCTTTTATCACTGTGTTTTGGCTCGACTTAAGCAGACCCTCACTAATTCTCCTACGCGTCCAATTGATCTGCAATCAGCGACCGAGCAGGAGAGCAACATTCTGCATTGATACACAAACTAATTACTATCACTTGAAGTAACTAACAGAGAGTATCGGGTAGAGGTTATAACACTTTTCTGTTGTCGGTGCAACGCATTACAGCTCTTCAATGAATAATTATTCCTGGTGTAATTAATCAAACCACTCCCTGAGGCGTGAAAGAGCTGGTAGTAATGCAGCTCCCACTGGGAATCAACTAAGCAGCTTGAAGCGGCCGTGAGCTTACTGATATGTTTTAACTCGTCTATGCCAGCAGACTGCATGAAGGAAATGAGACTGTTAAATTGAACGACGCACGTCTATCAGAGCAGAGCAGCCCAGGAGGTTCTGGACAAGCACAGCAGGCCTAGCAAAAGTTAAAAACAGAACAAGTAAATGGGAGTCTGTCCAATGTTTGAGTTGCACAGTTCAATCCATCTTTAAGCAAATAAAGGTCTGCATACCCTCTTACTTCCTTCCCCTGACATATTTATATGCACTATCCAATTCTAAGGCAACAGTTGTAAGAAAAAGTATTAATTTGTAATAGGTTGCAGCTGAGAAAACTGAGCACATAGGTAGGAAGGTGCCTAAATGCAGTTTTTGGTTTACACTGTCCTTCATTCAGGCGCCTCAGGTGGACTTTTAAATTCTGCTGACCACCAGGCAAATGCTTGCTTTGCAGAACAGGAAGTGTTAATTTGCATTGCATCCCATGGGTGATTCATACACGAACGGGGAAAAAAGAACCCCTGAGCTCTCCTGACAGACGAGACACATTAACAGCTGTAATCACAGAGGGAAGGAGCTGTCACATCAAATCACTCAAAAGGCCATTTTCTCAAAACCCTGGTGAGTCTAAGCAAACAGACGTTCACACACCCACATTTAGACAATTTTTGCTAAATGTGGCAAATAATGCTCCAACTATAATTCAATTCTTTGTCAGCAGCAAGTGTCTTTCCAAACATGAGAGCAGAGAACATTACAAACGTGTCATGAGGGATCCAACAAGTCAAGTTACATTTCTGAAAAGGAATGACTGACATTTGTTATAGAAAACATTAAAAAACGTGAACTTAAATGTTTCTTATTTCCAGTTTTCTTATGCAGTTGACAAGACCAACTGAGAACACTGCATTTTACTAAAGACTAGCAGAGAGTCTTTAACTGGAACAGTTAATACGGCTCCTAAACTTAGAAGTGAATTTTTAATGACTTTGTGGTGAGTGTGAAAAGAATGTGGTGATAAGAAACAACTAGTCCCACAAATTGTGCCTGTTGTTTTTAGGTCTTTTACCACATAAAAAAATAAAATAAAATAAAAGTTCTCAGGCTTAAAAAGTTAAATAAATTGTAACAAGTTTGTGAAAATATATATATTTTTTTTATTTAAAATCGTTCTTATGCCTTTCAAAAAAAAAAAAAGTAAATCCAAGGTCCACTCTGCTCTTGGACATACGTCCAGTGGACACTGTATATCATGGTGCGCTAAGATTCATAACTGCTTCTTGGTCTGTTGCCTTCATACGTCTACATGTCACTACATGAGTGCAGCTACAGCGTGCGCTCTCAGGACATTATTACATGCAGTGTCCCCTTAGTGAGGACTGAACTAGGCAAAATGGTCTTCTCTTACTCCGCTTGTTTCCTGGAATATCTTGCAAAAAGATCTGAAGCTCTCGATCTTGACCTCTCTAAGTGGCTTCAAACATCTGTTAAGTTCCTGGCAAAAACCAACACAGACATGTTCCTGTTTTTAGTTTTCTACATCGCTTTACAACCGAACTGTTTTTGTTTCATTTTTTAATAACATTTTCTTTTATTTGTTCTTCGCAATTTGTATGCATCCTTTATGATTGTCTATTATTGTCTTTGTTGTCTACTATTGTCATCACTTTTTGTTAAAATCAGGTCTCTCTTGTAAATGAGCCCACGAGGCTCAAGGGATTAACTTGTATAAATAAAGATTGAATGAACATATGAGATATACTTTGAGATATCAAATTGGTGTCAAATTTGCTTTGCTGAAAGTGTATCTGAACTTTAATACACAAACACCTACTTATCATTTTCACTTCAGTTTTTGAACCAAGCAATCCTATGTATTTAGCTTACGTCTGTCATGAGAAGCTAAAATGTGTGAAATAGCAGCTGAAGTCCAAAGAAACCCTTTGAAAGATCTTTAGATGTCCGAAGAAATATTTCTTAAGGCCACTTTAAAAAAAAAGAAGTTTGGCTCTGTGGAAACAAAAGATAAACAATGTGGGATGACTACATATTTGCACAGTGCTCTAATTCAAATATACTCCGTTTTATTTTTTCTAACTTTGCTTGTCTTGTATTTTAATTATTACAGCTTCGAGTGCAGTGCAGTATCAACACGTGTTCCATTGATCCATGGTAGTCACCTTTACACCAGAATTTTTGAAGCCAAACCAAGTCCATTTCTGCTCCTCAGAAATACTGTTGTACTGTAACAATGTAAAATTAAATATAATGTTAGTCATAGTGAAGGTGAAATGTGTTGTTACGCATTATATGCCACACAGACAACATGGATGCGTTACAGGCTGGTGTTTATAGGGAGGAGATGTTTGTGAATGTGACAGGAATCTGAAACACTGTCAGCATTTACGTCATTCTACAAAAACATCAGTTAAATGATGCCCTGGTTGTTGCTCTGCTAACACCTGAGTCTGTGACACAGGCTACATGCTCATTTGCATATAGAGCGGCTAGCCTGATCCGATCGCAATGTGCCACTCAGAACGAATACGGACACATATATGAACGTAAATACCAGGTGTGCACAGATGTGCTGAGAGCAATCCATTGCAGTCAGATCTCCTAAGAGTCATGGCAATGGCCAGTCTGTGACATTACTGAAAAACAAACACTGTGTTTATGTTTGGTTCCAATCAGACCAGCATATATTGTTCTGCTGCTAAGAAGTTATGTCTGGTGTAAGTTCACAGTTTTAGACTTGAGGGACGTTTGTTCTTAAATATGAGTTGGTGTAAAAGCTGGATTTGTAACTCTCAAACATTGACAAACTGCCAGGGATGAACTCTCCTTGATTGTTAAGTTTATGTCTTGAGTATTAGATTTTAACATTCCTTTTATCGCAAGGGTCAACAAATAAAAATATGTGCTCTGTGTTTAACATTCTAAACAATACAACAGTAAACAAGTCTAAAGGTTCACCAATTAACTATCAAACAAATGGCGAGGAAAGAGAGAAAAAAATAATGAGGAACGAAGACAAACAGGCGTAAAATGAGAGATGTGATGAAGCAAGTAGCAGCTAGGGACCCTCTGGAAAGCAAAGGCTATTACACAGACGAGGATATGCTGAATTATTCAAGATGTGTTTGTAAAACATCACAGACGGGATATAAGTAGTTAGCAGTTCCGAATAGGGCCATGTTGCAGCAGCATGTTTTCATGAACAAGTTAATGTTGTTTTGTTGAGATGAAGGTGAGAGAAGAGGCTGTGAGAGATAATGAGTACATATATTTTTTATTTGTATATATTTTATTTATTCTTTTCAGTTTTGATGACAGACTAGCATTAAGGCTGGAGACGTGTAGGCCTGTCACGATAACTAAATTTTGCTGGGCGATTAATTGTCTCAGAAATTATTGCGATAAACAATAAATCAAAAAAGTTTGAAATTTGACCATAATTAATTATTATTGTCAAATTTAAGAAGAAATGTTGGTTAATAATTTGTTTTGCATGCAATACCTATTTTCGACCACCGGGTGACAGTATAAGACTGTTTGAACCAAAGGATGGATAGTGAGGGAGTGAGCAGAGTGTCTCTAAGAAAAATGGTAGAGAGGCCCCTTGACGTGACATGGGCTGTCTCTCTTCGGTTCTCAAAATGGCGGATGCTCAGTGTGGTTTGAGCTCTTTAGCATAGACCACAGTTTGTGAGACTGAAGGGTTGTGTGTCCAACCAGGTGGTCAATAGCTCAGGAGCACCACTGTCATACAACAACAGAATGTCTTCAGCCAGAGGCTTCTTCAGATCCGCTGTAAGAGAGACCGCTACAAGAGATCCTTCCTGCCCACAGCCATCAGCATCTAGAACAACTCTTTAATGAAACCAGGATGATGAGTTACAACAACATACAATTCCCCTCTGGGATTAATTAAATATTTTTGAATTATTATTATTGTTTTTTTTTGTTTGTTTGTTTTTTAATAGCATTTTTCACACAAAGCTTTTAATAGAAAAAAAAAAAAAAAAAAATCAGTAAAGAAGTTCTCAGCTTATTTTGCAGAGAAAAACAACTTTTTACACGAAGGCACGGGTTTCAACTGTGAATTTTGGAGCTTCGACAAGACTGTTTTTTTCCCCGAGGTCGGCCTGTTAGCTTAGCTGCTTTTAACAATCTAAAAACACAATTTTGGACGATTAAAATGGATTTTAAAGAGAAAGGGAGGGTTCAGTGAAGAGCACCGACGTTGAGCCTTTTGTCATCCACTGTCTTCAGTAGAAAGAGAGAGACACAAAGAAACGATAAAACCGATAAATGAAAACGAGGTCGATAATTGTCATCATGCGATTAATTGATTTATTGTTTATCGTGACAGACCTAGAGAGGTGTGATGTATTGGTGGTGCATCTGTTATGCAAACACCAAAGGCTCACTTTGAGAGACACTCTGGAACTTGTCCTGCCCCATGTGTGTTTGTGTGGGTGAGATGACAATCGAGTCTGAGTAGCACCAGTGGTCACAGAATGGCTGGTGTTACCTCTTCATTCACATTGTTGACCTTCATTATGTTAAGTCTATGAGCCTCTTGGATACTGCCCACCGCTGGAGACTCCACACTCAATGCAACACTTGTTGCAGGCAGAAATGTTTGTACATTACATGCTTGGTGTTCTCGTGGCTCATTTGGTAAAAGAACATTTGAAGTGCAAATCAGCAAACTAAATCTTTATCCTTTAGTTAAATGTGTTTAATTGCAAGAGCATAAGCAAATAAAATAATACTGCACCACTTTGTGCAAAGCATTCAAACTGGGAAACTGCTGCAAGAACATCTTTTACACAAACAACATGTATCCTTATTTATTTATCTACAAAACAAACTACAACGATGAACAAATGCAATTATCTCGCTGCAGTTTTCTCCAATAATCTACCATATTTTTACTTGCTGAACAGATAAGGCTCAGACATTTTTAGGCCTGCTTTCTGAAAGCAGTGTGATATCAGCCATAACCTGGACAGTAAATGTTTAAACAGGGTGTAGCAGGGGGAATGTGCTGCACAGTAACAATTTATTGGTAAGGTTCGGTTGAGGTTACAGCATGAGAAAAATGTGTGTAGCGCTCAGAACCATTATCTCTAATCTGGACAGACACATACCTCCACTGAGCTACTTTAAATGCTTAACATAAAACTCTATTGTTCCATTAAAACGTCCATTATATATCATAAATATTGACACACAAAAATACCTTACTTTCCTTTTTTAGTCCTGAAATTTAGGAAATACTGATAAAACTGTATACTTTTACAATAAAGCATTTTATTCCAGTATGCCAATGCCACAAATAGGTACAAGTTTTATCTATATACTAATGTGAGTAATACTGGATTATTCAATTCAATTAAAAAATACTTTATTAATCCCAAAGGGAAATTAAATGTTGTAACTTGTTATCCTCGTTTCATTAAGAGATGTTAGATATCGATGGCTGTAGGCGCCATCCCAGCGCTCCTCATCGCTGCAGACAGTCGGCTGCAGGTGCCGGGGGACAATCCTGTCCTGTTATTGAGCAAGTACTTTGATGTTGTGAACCACTTTGGCCATGGCTACCTCAGACAGGTCGACGAGAGAGAGGGCACACTCCAGAAACCATCTTATCACCATCAAACTGGTTGACCCACTATGTGAAAGTGGTACTTATGGGACTGAGTTTGTTGTGGCTTCTCAGACTGATAAAAGTCTTTTGGACGAAAGACGTTTCAACACAAAGTAACCGTCCAGAGGACCTGACTTAACTTTGTTGGATTTTTTTACCTGGATTATTGAGCACGAACTTTGATGTTAAATCAGATATTTTGCTAAAACTTACATGTGGAGATAAATGTGAAAACTCAAAGTCCAGATCAAATGAGTGAAAGTGCCTTAATGTAGCAGAGCAGTGGAACAGAAAATACATTTTCTACACAATCATTTGGTCGGTCATATTGTGTTCCAAGACAAATATCGGTTTCGTGCTTTATTTTAAGGTTTTTTTTTTTTCAAAACGGCCTTGTGTGTGTTTTTATATTTTCATTGTGTTGCGTTTTGGAAGTTAGCGGAGGGTTCAAGTTATAACTTATCGTAACAGTTCTGATGTTTAAAAAAAAAAATCAAATACTGACAACAAATAATAACTTATCCCAGGCTTCAATTATGGGATTCTTAAAAACTAAATTATTTATATATATATATATATATATATATATATATATATATATATATATATATATTCAAGCTACTACGCTGCAGTTCTGGTGATCTTAAGCCTTTTCTGCCCGTGTCTAAATTCATGAGCAGTCAAGAACAGACGTATACCAGTTTTACTCTCTTCTTCAGTGACGAGGGGAAACTTCACATCAAAGATTTTCACAACCAGAGAAAAGGTTTTCAAGATCACCTTTGTTTGCTGCTAATGACATGAAGTTACTTTTGGCAAAAGGTTTGAATGAGTGTTAGTAATGCAGCTTGGCCAATGTTTATGTTCAAACTAGGGATGCACAATATTATCAGCATGGTATCGGTCGATATTAGCAATAAAGTTAAATATCGGGAAACAGCCAATCCACCAAAATAACTCACCAATATAAAAGGTGCTGTTTTTTTTATACCGGTACATTATATATTTATATAGTGTTACATCATTTTCAGCCCCCTTTTTGGCATCTACATTTGGTAGTAGGTCAAATTGACAAAGACCATGCAGAATAATGTATTTTAATTCCACAGCAGAGAAAGTTATGTAGTCTCTGTAAGTAGGTCTAGGGAAAATAATAATAATATTGGTATCCGTTATCGGCCAAATAACTTTTAACATATTAGCATTTCGGATATTGGCCAAAAACCCAAAATTGTGCATTCCTAGTTCAAACAGAAAAAATAAATAAATCGTACTTTGTTTAAAAGTACCTGAATACTTCGGACCAGCAAGGTTCAAAACGTCTTGAACCTGAAGTACCATTGTACTTCCCATAGAAGGAGAAATGGTGTATTTGTTTAAATCCGCAAACAGCTTCAGAATGTTTGCTTAATTTCTGCCAATAAAGTAATCTCATGCAATGTTTTTTTTTTATGTCACGTCAAATTAAAATACAGGTAAAGAGCAGATGTTTTTGTACTGCTTGATGAAGCATAAAACCTTAAAACCTAAAACTAAAAGAGTATGTACTTTCTTTTTATCATGACTGTACTCAACGTTCCAGAGGGACTCCTCAAAAGGATGTGAGCACATCCAACCACTTTGTAAGACGAATCTAAGGATATGACACATCAACATCTCAAGCATATGGTAGGTTTGATGGGGATATGTTGATGAAATGAAAAAGACAATGTAACTCTTGCCAAGACAAAAGCTATAAAAGTCCACTGTGTAAGTGCACAGCACTTTGCATCCTTCTTTTTAGCATGTTGGAAACAAAGAACACCACTCAGTGCATTCATTGAGTCATCTGTAAAGCTCAGCAAAGGATATATCTGACATAAAAGCAAAACAATAAACAATACCTGAGTTATTTTGGACTGCACAGAGGACACTATGGACGAAGACACAGCACTGTCTTTCTCTTGAGAACCACCCCTAAAAAGTAGAGAGGAAAAAGACAGGGAGAAAGAAAAGGAAATCAATTGTGATAACAGCAGAGTGTATACAATATTCATGATATTTCTAAAGCGCTCAAGTTGGACAGGCATCAAGAGCAGCACAAGGAGGAGAAAAGAATCAAAGAACATAAATAGAAGACAAAGATGTGACCTGAAAGAGCAGCAATATCCATCAAAAGCTGACACCACCATCCAAAACATGTGACTGTATAATAACGCAAACAACTGCGGGCTGCGATTTTAACGCCAAGGCGCAGTCCGAATATTTTATTCTCTCTACTCTACAGTCAAACACTTCATTATTCATCAAGGTAATTTTAAAAGAGAAAAAATAAATAAATCATCTGCATCAATTTGATTAAATACAACAGGTGACACGAAACTGCAGAGTAGCCTACAGCGGATGGCATGGGGCTTTTTTAGACTTAAGCCAACATTTCTAAAAAAGCCAGTCTCATTCATTCACACAGTAATTTGCTGAATTGACTTCAAAGGAAAAGTAAAACTTTGATGATGAAAAATAAAAAAATTTAAAATACAAAGAAAATGAAAAAGCCAAATAATCAAAGCGCTCTTAAAAGACAGATCAATCACTTACATTAAAAAAGATTTGTATTGGTCAAGAACATGATTTTCATTTGAAAGAAAATAAATCAAGGCTGAAGTCCTTGTGGTTATTAGTGTTGATGGAAAAATGCTGTTCTTTTTAAAGTCAATATGCAAAACAAAGAACTGAACTGTGCTGTAGGCAACAGATTTTAGTGGTCAGTGTGAGCAACGTGAGAAGCTTTTGTTTTCTCCAAATCACAAACAAGCAAGTAAAAGGCTAGTATTTCCTATTTTTACACAAGTTTTGGATGAAACAATAAATATATTGTGAAAGTCTTGCAAACTTCAGAAGTCAAGATGTTACTTGACCTGGCAAACAGCTGCAGGTAGTTTAGTTATACATTAGTCCCTCTATTATCGCAGAGGTTATGTTCCAGACACCACCGCAATCGGTGAAAAACCACTAAGTAGGAAAACTATATTTATTTTAATATTTATATATATTTTAAGGTTTAGAAACCTTTCCCACACTCTTGCAATGTTCTTAATGTTCTAAACTCTCTAAACGCTCTAAAAGAGCACAGCGAAAGAAAGCAGACTGATGCTAAAATTACTGAACCAATCCCGGGGGCAGACGGGCCATCCCGGCTCAGTTCGGGTTAAGGCCTGGTTCGGGTCGCCCTTGATTATTTTAAATAAACAATCCATGCCGCTCACTCTGGTATCCGCCTCACTGAAGCTCACAGCTTGCTGACAGATCCCACCCCCATCCTTTCTTTTTCTGAGTCTGACAGCCTCAGAAAGAGAAAGGAGGGAGTAGTCCCTCAACGATCACAGAGCAGCCAGGCCACCGGGAAACAATGTGTACAATCTTACAATGAAAAACCGCGAAAGAGTGAGTTGGCGATAGTCGAACCGCAAAGTATCGAGGAACTACTGTAATGTTAACTTTGATGGTGGTGACGAAGAATGCCCTGATTTATTATCCAGGCTATTATTGAGGCCATTGTTGAAACAATCATATCGTTCTTCTGTGAAAAGACAAACATTCCGATGGAAATTATTAGATGTGTATTTTGCTGGATTACTGACTAGCTTGATGAGTTACCTTGAGTGGCCCAGGCTGGATGCAGGGCTAGGTGATGGGGACAAAAGTCCGGGTGAGGAATATGCTGAGACAGAAGAACCTACAGCTTGTACCTGTCCTTTCAATACACTTCTTTTATGTTCAGTAGGAGACCTAAGGGACCAAAAAAAAAAAAAAACAACAAGATTTGTGATTCGAATGTACCCCAATTCATCATATGGAAAGATTGATAAATTTGTGAAAATCTATTAAGGCCAGTTAGTTGCCATTTGGAATTAAATTTGGTCCGAACCAGATTTAAAATACAAATTCCACAATAAATTGTAAATAGTTTGAGTGGTACACGCCACATACAGTTATGGTTTCCTAATAAACTGCAATTATAATCAGAAGTAAAGCAAACATTTTGGACTTGACATGTGATTCTTGATCTTCCATAATAATAAATACTTTAGGTGTTAAAAACAGACCAACCTGAATGTCAAGATCTACGACTCTTCTCTGAGCCCATGCTGTTAACGCCTGCTGTTAAATTTACCTGGATCTCGAATGACCCTTGGGCATGCTGGAGCTACTGCTGTGATGGTAACGATTTCTCTCCTCAAGTCTCCTTTCTGACGAGTGCCCCCTCCTGTCCCTTCTCCCTGGGGAGTGTGAACGAGATCTGACCAAAAATGACAAAAAAAATGTTCAAATGAGCAGAGAGCATTAAATAAAATATGGCAAAATTATGAGAGAGAAGCTAGTAAAACTATACAAGTAGTAGTGGTGAAGAAGGTTTTTTAGAACTGGGATTGGCACAATTTAATTTAAACGCTGTTTAAATACTATGCAATTCAAAATTTTAATTAGTTTAATAAAAAATATATTCCTCTTTTTTTCAGAATAGAGATATAGCCTTCTACAGGGTCCCCTAAAAACACCATATTAAATATTAATGAATGGTCTAGGAGATTAATTACCCTCTTAGGTTTCTTTCTACAATGGGCAGAGCTAATTTCATTTCGTCTGCTGGCTAGTATGAAAAGCATGCAGGTCATTAGCATCCACGCCATTTGCAAACATAAATCAGTTAAAGAAATAGGATGGAAAATTAAACTCATTTTCTAACAAGACAGCCAGAAAGGAACATCAAGATCATGACACGAACGAGAAAAATAATAAGAATTACATTTTGTAATACAAGATATTACATTTGATTGTTGCCAGGTCAGATTTTTACTCTATTACAATAAATAAATACATAAAATCTACAGTAATTCTACAGTTCTGCTGCATAAAATAAATGAAAGTAATAAAACTGTTGCTTCCAGACTGCTTTGCTTGTAATGGTAAACACATAAAAAGCAGAAAAGTTTCATTTACAATGCATATTACTTTTTGTGGAAAACACATACGAGCACACAAAGACAGAAGCTGCGTGCATGATCAAAGTTTTCCATAGAAATAACAACTCACTCAAACAAAGAAACATTTTACAGTTTTACAACAATCTAATGTGTCACCCAATGCACTCATACACGGCATTATTCATAAAAACAAGCTCAGAAGGTCAGTAGTTCATTATCAGTGTTTCTCCTAGATGAATGGCCTTGGCAGTGTGCTTGACGGACAGACGGGGGTGGGGGCATGGTTAGTGGACATTACTAATGCTAGGTTGGAGCCACGTATCTTGTGGCTACAGTTTCCGCTCTCCATCTGAAAGTAGCGGAATGTTCAAGGTAGGGCTGGGCCATATCACGTCGTTCACGATAATACTGGTAAAAACAACTTGGCCGGGAAAATAAATTATATCATGATATGCTAATTTCATGACGTAAATACGTCAGTGTTTCCCCTACCATTATACAAGCGGGGTGCTCCGCCCCGTTAACAGAACCGAGCGCGCCAAACTACCGAACCGAATTGCGCACCCCACCGGTACTGGCGTAATGCTAAGCTAGCCGCGCGCAATACAGCTAAAAAGCTAAAGGCATCACTCATGCTACCTCTTCCCTCACGCTGAGCCCCGCTCCCCCCGCTCTAAACTGCTGGTACAAATGCAGCTCGGCTGTGTCTCTCCCCCCACCCTGCTCTGGGCTTCCGGTATGGACGCGGCTTGGATGTGTCACCCCCACCCCCCCTGTGCACCTGCACTTTAGTTTTTGTGGTGAATTTTGTTGATCTATATTTTGTGCAGACTTTTTCAATCTAAATTACAGAAGGATATATTTTTTTATTTGTATACTTTTAGACTGAATACTTTACAAAATAAAGTAATCGCAGTAAAATTAACACTTGTTGTTGTTTTTTTTAATAGTTTTTATATAATACTGCAAAGCAACATGTTAAACCCGGGACCCGGAGGTCCCGAGTTCGATCCCCGGTCACTGCACATCTCGTGCTGTCTCTGAGCAGGACACCTTATGCCCAGTTGCTCCCGGGGCGCTTTTCATAGCTGCCCACTGGTGGTGGATGGATTAAATGCAGAGAACCAATTTTGCTATTGTATGGGAACATACAATGATGACAGTACATAACACATTATTATCATTATTATTAATTTTGTCAAATGAATAACTATGGTTTCTGTTTTATTTATTTATTTTTGTTATATCACTAAATTTATCGTTATCGTCAGAATGCTCTGAAATATCACAATATTATATTAGAGCCATATCGCACACCCCTAGTTCAAAGGGGTGGGGGATTTTGATAGGCAGGGGAAACACCGATTATCGTAATTTACGGATTATTGAGCACACCCGAATATAAGCCACACCCACTAACTTTAAAAATATTAATTTTGTTGTACATATATAAACTGTGCTTGTCTACAAGCTGCGGGTGTCCACGTTGTAATATGAGATATTTACAGCGAAAGTTTTTTTAAAACTTTTTATTAAATACATACAGGTAACATACACAGTAATTTTTATTTATTTTTTTTTTTTCTGAACAGTGCCAGTAACATGACTGGTTTAAAAAAAAAAAAAAATACAGTAGTCTACCAGGAAGTCATTGATCACCATCTTCACCTTCCTCCTGCACAAGCTTGTGCCGTTCTCCACATAGCTGCCTGCCTGTATCCCAGAGAGCTTGGTGTGCCATTTTAAATGCACAATTCACACTTATTTCAAGTGGTTGAGGCTGCAAATACTTCGTTATACCCCAAGAAAAGAAGGAAGTTTTCCCCGCTCCCTGGGGGAACAACTGTTTCATTGGTCCACTGTGACTTGTTAGGTAATTTTATTGGTCAGATTTTTTTTTTTTTACCTTTATTTATCCAGCTAGTCTCATTGAGTCACAAGGACCCCCCCTCCCCACCCCCCAAGAGGGACATGTATTGTGCAGCTATGTGAGCGCCCGGGTGTGACGAGGCTAAATGTTTTGGCAGAATGAAACTGGTTAGGACGTCAAAAGATAAAATCTATAAATTAGCCGCAGCGTTGTATAAGCCACTGTGTTCAAAGGGTGTGAAAGAAGAAGCGGTTTATAGTCTGGAAATTACGGTAAGTTGAATCGTAGTAACAACCCACCATGAAAAGGAACACATTCAGACAAAGACTTGCTAATGAACCAGGAAATATCTGTGGTGCCAAGTTTGTGTGATCACAAAACATTTAAATGAAGACCTCGTCATAATAACTTAAGTCATAACTGTATGAAACTACACCAAAGTGGTGGGTGTGGATCTTACCGGGACCTTCGGCCTCTCTTGTAGGCAGTGGGAAGTGAGGGTCCGCTTTTCGATCTCGACTGTGACCTCGACCTCCTGTGCTTTTTCTTCTTTTTGTCTTTATCCCTTCCTTTGTTCTGATCTTTGTCTCTGTCTCTCAGTCTGTCCCTATTTCGGTCTCTGTCCCGATTTCTTTCTCTTTCTCTATCCCTCTTCCTCTCTCTGTCTCGGTCTTTGGACATGGTGTGAGAGGCTGATGATGACGAACGGGTTGGGGTTCCCCTCGTGCGGTTGGCTTCACGGTTCTCCAGGAAGAACCTTTGATCTTGAGGCTGCACAGCAGATGGATGACAGCCTTGAGAAGGTGCAAGATCAGACAGAGCTGAGAAGGCATCTTCCAGCTACAAAAAAAAAAAAGAGATCTGCATTACACTTAAATTTTATATTAACATTCTCTAATTGTTTTAAAGATGTGAAAAAATAACGCTTAGACTATTAACTGGATTAAACTTCCAGTTATTAATTTGGACCAAAGAAGCATTAAATAAACTCCATAAACTTCTAAATCAGTACAAAAACATGTCTACTTGAAGAGACATGGGGACGGATAAGCCTTCTAGTGTATGCGTCTGTGTTGAGACTAAAATAGTATTTATCATTTTAATGTGCAGCTTTGTCAGCATTACATAACAACAACTCATGCTGAAGGAAGAATTTAAAAAAGAAAAAGAAAAACAAGTTTGACTGATGAGGGGAAAAGCAGTTTCTGGATAGTTTGTGTTTGAAGTTTGATCTTAAGAGATGCTTTAATAATTCAAAGACTTTCTTTTTTTCTCTAAAAAATTAAGTATCATCTAAAAAATTTATAACAAGGTTACAGGTTTTAAAGTTATCTAAAGAATCTAAACTGGTAGCAGGAGGGTTAAAACTGAACGATGAGATGTCAAGTCGCAGAC